GGATCTGTCATCCCCTTCCCCTCTCATGGTTCCTTAGTCCTCTTGACTTGGTGTCAACTGCTCATTGACAGGAGGAAGGCTGACTATAAATAGAAAGCAATTTAAGTTTCAAGCCCCTGGGTTTCTCAGGCTTCTTCCAAGGCCCTTGGACCTAATCTTGAACTTGCCATGTCTACTCAGTTCTCTAACGAGGGTTCCCTATTGTATTAATTCCGGTGCATCCACATTTAGATCTGACCTCAAGAATGTCACTGTGTTGATGCCACTGTCCCCATAGATGAATGGCCATGGCAAGAGGCGGGAATGAACTTTGCATCTTCCCTTGAGGTGGCTCCCAGCATCCCTAGGTGGGAATAGAGTTGCCTGGCACTTTGCCAGCAACCTCTTTTTGTTTAATCCTTATAAGCTGTACTCCTCTTGCTCATGAAACAGGAGGAGAACTTCTGTGCTTGGTATGTGGTTTGGTTCTGAAAGTTTGAAGCCAGTGAAAGTTTTAGTGGCACTGTTTCTGTGAATATAATCGTCCACTGAACTAGTGAACTGCTTTGGGATACCCAGGGAGAAACAGCTGTGGCTGTGGACTGAGACAGGATCCAGGCTTGCCTGGGGCAGGTTCTCCCTGTCAGCCGCTGTAAGACCTTCAAAAGGCGTTCTTCTGGGCTTCCATTTCCTGGTCAGACTTTGCTCAGTCCCTTTTCCAGTGAGTCTTTGTGGTTTCTTTTCCTTATTCCTTCAGGTCTTTTGTGGGTTTTTTTTTTTTTTAATTTGGACAATAATTTTTTAATTTCCGGAAGTCTTTCCTACTCTCTCACTGTTTTAGGGCGGCTTGTTTTGTTGCTTTATGGCTGTCATATCTTCTCCAGCAAGCCAGAGGAAATGGCTTCAATCTTTCAGAGTTCTGTGCTCTTCTTTGAATTGCCGATGTCTCTGGGGAGCTCTGTCTGGCACCCCTGCTTGTGGCTATCGATTTCCCTCTGGTGTGTATTGGTACACACCTGTTCTTCAGCTTTATGGGCCATGCTGAGGAGCACTGAGGTGGGGGGGGTGTCTCTCATTTGCTGTCTGAGTGTGTTTGGTCTCTGGGCTTCCCCCTCGAAGGGAAGACTGACTGAGGGTTTTGTGTCATGGAATAGCATCTCTCAGGCTGTGACAAAGTGATGCTCTTCATTAGGAACTTGGTCTCAGCTCCCACACCACTTGGTTTGCCTTACAGAGTAGAACTCTAATTTTGGTTTTGAAAAACAAACAAACAAACAAACAAAAAAACCCACAAAAAAACCAAAAAACGATGCAACAAGGGATGAGGGTAGAAGGTATGGAGGTGAGTGGATGGAAGCCCCTGTCGTCTGTGGGCAGATTTTCAAAGGCTTTCATATTGAGATGGTTTTAGATTTAGCAAAGGGCTTCGGAGACTGCATTAAAATTCCCTGATGCCATTCATTCACCTCCCCCCAGGGTGAGTTTCTTACATAACCGTGGCATACGTGTCCAATGGAGAAACTCACATTAGCGAGTCCCTGTTCACTGAACTAGGAGTGTGTTCATCTGGTGACTGTTCTTTGTTCTCCGGTGCCACCAGCTGTCTCTTTCCTTAGCAGTCACTTCCCCCAGATCTCCGACAATTCATAACCAGTTCCCGTTTCCTCTCCTTTAATGACCTTGATCCTTTGGGTGAATTAAGGTCAAGTATTTTATGGAATTTTATGGTTGAAATGTTTTCATGGTCCTTCCCTCCCTCCCTCCCTCCCTCCCTCCTTCCCTCCCTTCCTCTCTCCCTCCCTCCCTTCCTCCTGACACGGTCTAACTATGTAGACCAGGCTGGCCTGGAACTCATAGAGATTCACTTGCCTCTGCCTCCTGAGTGTTGGAATTGCATGCCAGATGTGTGTTTGTTTTTAATGGAGGTTAGTCATTAACACAACAAGAGAGTTTTCCCATGCCAGGCCTATCTGTCCCTCATACTCACCCATCACTCCATAATGAGGTAAGGGTTTCTCTTCTAAAGGGTCAGGACTTGGGCCATCAATGGAGCCACTGTTCCCAGCAGCTGGGCTTCTAGGCTCTTACTCAGAGTTTGCTGGTGCCAAAGTTACGTTCCAGGAAGGACGGAGACCTTGCTAAAGCTTGGGTTCTGTTCTTCCCATTTCTGCTTGACACTTTGAGCAGGTTTCCAGTTGCTTAATAATGATATAGGCATCTGGATGTGCATTTTGCTACTGGTTCCCACACTTCCTTGAGAATCTGGTGTGCTGGCTTGGGGACAGATGGGAAGAGCTGAGTGGGAAGATGAGACTTTGGTTTTGCTTGATCCTTTTCAGAAGTCTGTGTGAGACCTCCCCAACTCTACCCTTAATTACTAAGTGCTAGCTCAGGATACGACATGTGTGTTCAGGCTGCTGTAGCATGATGCCCATAGACTGGTGGATTATGAAGAAGAGAAGGTTGTCTGGCATGGCCCTGAGAACTGGGGAGTCCAAGACGAAGGCTGAGTCAGCGTGTGGTGAAGCCCCACTTCCTGCTTCACATGGGGCCTGCTCCTCATGCCCTCACTGGGTGGAAGGGACAAGCCTCCTCCGGCCTTTTTAAAATGGACACTAGTCCTCTTCTCGAGGTACCCTCATGACTTACCCACCTCCTGTCCTGTCAGACTTTTCCAGGGGGATTCTTTTTCTTTCATAGGGAGATGGCATCTGAATTTGTAATTTGATGGCCCCAGGGTGCTGTGGATATCGCTCTATATAAATAAAATACTGATGGCCAGTGACCAGACAGGAAATATAGGCGAGACAAGGAGAGAGGAAAATTGGGAAAACAGGAAGAAGGAGGGAGAGACACTGCAGCCACCACCAGGACAAGCAGCATGTAAAGATGCCGGTAAGCCACCAGCCATGTGACAAGGTACAGATTTATAGAAATGGGTTAATTTAAGATATAAGAACAGTTAGTAAGAAGCTTGCCACAGCCATACAGTTTATAAGTAATATAAATGTCTGAGTGATTATTTTATACGTGGATTGTGGGACTGCGGGGCTTGGTGGAACCTGGAGAGAAGCTCTCCAGCAACACCGGGGTATTTTCTAGACTGAGTGTGGCAAAAGTTTTCTATGCAGGTCAACTGGGAAATGTCTCAGCTTTCTGGGCCACAGGCCTCTGTTGAAAGGACTTGGGGTTGACACTGTAGGGAGACTGAAGCCTTAGGTTATACAAACACCAGCAGGGTGGCCTGTCAGGATGAGAGCAGAGGCTCTAGGTCCTTGTCATTGCAGTGTGGTTCCTCTCTAGTGTGATCTGCATGTTCTGGATGCTTGTTAGCAGTGTGGTCTCAGGTCTTCAAGATTTGTGGACCTGGGACTTTGGGGTTTAAAGATCATCTCTGAGAAACCCACAATGTCAAATGGTGTCACACTCACTATCTAGAATGATGGTTCCCACATCCACTCAACTGGGTGGGTGAGGAGTCCACAGGCGCCATAAGTATAAGGAAGTGAACAACACACAGTTCCAGAAAGTCCCTGAAGCTTACAAGATTCAGGAGCCCCTTCCTTTTCCAGGGTTAAAAAGCCGAGACTGCTAAAGAGAGGAGATTCTCCCATCTGTTGAGCAGACTGCAGCTGTGCAGAATGCTCCCAAACCATGCAATTCATGAGTCATCACTCACTCTGTCTTGGGCTTTTGAGTCCCATAAGTAACCCTGATACATTCACTGGTTCACCAAGTTGGACTTCAGTGGAATCATTATTTCAGTCTGTGGTCAGTGCCCCTGTCTGGGGTGAGTAGATGTTTCTCTGTGCTATCCAAGGCAGGTCTCACACAAAAGGAGGAATCATGTGTTTAATCTGATTGCTCTTCTGCCAAAGCTGGGCTGAGGTCATGCACGCTGGGAATGGAGGTTGGATGAGAGAGAAGTGAAAACTCATTTGTGATTTGGGCCTCATGAAGAGGCTTCTCTGAAGAGGGCCAGCCCCTGATGGCATTAAAGAGAGAAAGGCCCTGGGAAGTGCAGGGGAGGTAGGGAGGGGTGGGGTGGTCTTGCTCAAGGCAAGTGCTGCACAGACAGTTTGTGTTGGGTTTCCCTATCTTATTCACTCGGAAAACTGTTGCTTTCCCCTTTACCAAGTATGTGCTGAGAAAACTATGAGAAATTTTCATGGAAGTCCACAGAGAAGAGCTATGCCTGGCATGGATTAGTGTTGTCATGGGTCCCAGGAGACTAGACAGAGGTGGCACTGACCTCTGAGAAATTGTTGTGATGACCTACACAGATGAAAGCCGAAAGTCATCCCAGTGCAGCGGATGGTCAGAAGGTAGTGAGAAGTCAGGATGCCCATGAACATGGAAGACACTGCCTCCTACGCCCCATGTATATGAGGTCCAGGTGGCAATTCGAGGACAATAGAAAGCATGTTTTGTCTATGTGCACTATTTTCTGGATTTCTACCCTTGAAGACAGATTCTTTATACACATATGGTAATAACATGAATTATAGTCAAGTGAGGAGATGCTCGGAGAGCCAAGCTCAGTTTGATCTGTGGGAAAAGTCAGTGTGTCATTGACATGACACTCCACCTGCTGTAGCTTGGATCTTATGTCTCAACAGTCTTGGTTTAAAAGGCTTGGGCCCTAGAATGGTGATATTTGGAGGAAATGAGACATTTAAGAGGTAGGGTCTTGAGGGAGGACTTTAGGTCACTGGGGCATGCCCTTGTGAAACATAGTGGAACACTGAGTACTCATTACTCTTTCTGATCCCTGTCTCCCTACGTAAGTCAGTCCACCACACACTCCCGTCATGTGCTGCCTCCCTACAGGCCTTAAAGAAAGAAGCCAAGAGAAACCTTTTCTCTTTCTAACTTAGTTATCTCGGGTGTTTTGCTCTAGTGATGGAAAGCTGACTAGCTCACCCCTCCACTCCATCTCTGCTTCTAATTGCATTTGAACCCCTCATCAATAAAAAGGTCCATCCCACCCATCCCAGAATTAAGAGCAGTTATACAAGGAATGTCTGAGTAGTCATTTATTCCAAACAAAGTACATGGACTTAAACAGAGCCAAGAATTCAGGGTTCCCCACCCTGCAACATCCACCCCTGCCTCTCATTCATGAGCTCATCCCAAGAAGAAATTGTAATACTTCCAGGTCACAGTGTAGAGAAGAGCAGCTGAGAGATCCTGGAGGTCAAGAGGGGCAGACAGGGCCTGGAAACAGGGAGTGGGCAGGAGATGGACAAGGGGGCGGGGAGGGACTCTGTTAAGGGAGCGGGGAACAATGCTGTTATTTGGAGAAAAGTGTAAAATCTTACCATACATTAAAATGTCTCTCACTGACAGACTCAAATCACAGTGGAAAAGTAGAAAACAGAAAAGGATGCAAAAGTGACAACAGTTGATCTCAGCAGGGACGTCCAGACCTCAGAGGCTCCAGGTGGGAAAAGAAAACAAACTGTAAACTTGGAGGATCCTTGGTCCACAGAAAACAGACCTACCATGACGGCAAAACAAGAAAGCGCCTCTTGCAGAGGAGGAGGGGGCTGGCGATTGTGATGTCGGTGATGATGAGGAAGATGAGGAGGAGGAGGATCAAGGAGAAGATGATAATGAGAAGATGAGGAGGAGGAGGATCAAGGAGAAGATGATGATGATAAGATGAGGAGGAGGATGAGAGTGAAGACAAATGGTTGTTGACTGTCAGTCATCACTGTGTGACACATGGGATCTTATCAAGTCCTGTAACAACTCTGAAAGGTCAACCTTCTCCTTCTGTTTGAAAGTGAGCCAACTGACTCTTGAGCAGTCACGTGACTTGCAGAGGTCTTCCAGTCTTGGCAGCAGCTGCCAACTGGCTGAAAGCCCCAGCTTTCTCTGCTTCAGCATCCCCAGCTCCAGTGTCAACTGATCCCTGGCCTCATCATAAAATACTTTGCTTCTTGAGTGACCCTGCTTTCCTCTACAGTTGACTAAGCAGAGGCTTCACGGAGCCATCTCCCCAGCCAGGTGGCTTGTGCATGACAGACTGACTGGCCTGTTTTATACCCTTCTTGGGAAGGAAACCCTGGAAGGATGGTGGGGACTGAAGTTCTTCTGCAGGATGAGTCTTCTCTGGGATCCCATGAAATTCTGTGGGAGGAAGAAATGACCAGAGATGCACCTGAGTGCCATCCAGTACAGGGATGTGCAGGTATGGCAAGAGTTGGTGATTGCTAAAATCCAAAGGTTGGGGTGGCCTTCTAGGAGTCAGGAAGAAGTGCGTCTGCAGCATGGAGCCCCTGGGCTTGGTCTGTATGCTGCACCATTTCAGAAGACCAGAAAGTCTGTGGCTGACTCTTCCTGATTGCTTTGGAACCTGGAAGTTCCGTAGGAGGGGCAAACATGCCAGCTATTTATTTTGTTGAAAGTACACTCTAACAGCTAGGATGGGCCAAATTGTGAAGTTCTCATGGTTTAAATTATTTGGGGGGGGTAGGAGAACAGACACTGCAAATGTTGAGATATTTTACATGTAAAAACACTTTTATCAATGCCCAAGAGTTTGGATATGTGCAGTCCAAACGGATTCTCACAACACTGTGACTGGAGACAGAGCAGAGTGCTGTTTAACCCCTTCCACAGATGCAGAAAACCCGAGGCACAGAGAAGGTGTGACTTGTTCAAGGTCACACAGAGAAGCGGTGGGAAGCAGGGACCAGAGTCCAGGCTCCCCAGATCTGATTACAGAGCTCTTTTTTTTTTTTTTTTTTTTTTTTGCATCTGATGTTTTAGGGCTGAGATGGGGACCATCAGGGCACAGAGGAGGGATTCTGGGTGTCAGGGCAGAGAGGGTGCCATCTGGGATGGAGAGCTTAGCTGCTGCAGCCTCGGGTGCACGTATGGGTCAGGATATTGTTGTTTCGACCATCCTGTAGCTTGCTTGAGACCTGGCTTCCTACTCGGCCTTCCAGGTCTGAGAGCTGGCCATCATGCCCCTGCTGCCTCCTGAGCCTGCAACAAGTACAGCAGAGGTCTGGTTAGTGATGGCAGGCTGGGTGCAGCCATACACTTGTGAGGGACTCCTGATAGACAGCTAGAATCTGCCCCGTCCTCCATAATTCTGTGGAAGTCCCCAGTGCTCCACTTGGGTATACCCGGTGAGTGACTTAATACACAGAGCCTCGGTTTCTCTGTCTATAAAAATGGAGATAATAATTCCAACCTTGCAGATGTAATTTGTTCAAGTTCACAGCCAGTAGAGTTGGTTGGTGAAGCTATGTACCATTCATTCTGTTTATACCCGTGGATGGAGTAGTAGCCGTGCCTGGGGTCAGGGGCAATGCTGGCAAACAAAGAAACCATCTTCTCTGTCCTCACAGAGCTTATGCTGAAGAGGAGATAGGTAGTGGCCTGAACAGCCAAACAACCAGACTGACGGAACACTCCATGAAAAGCCGTGCTCAGGGAGCAGGAGCCTGAACACTGCATTTCTTAGCAGCTGGCCACCTGCTGCAGGTTGGAAGATATCCGTATCCCTCCCTCTCTGATCTTCAAGTTCAGGTTCACTCACTGTCCCACAGCTGATACTTGCCTGTGCATGGTACAAGCCATAGGAGGAACAGAAGGCAACAGAGAACCCAACTGAAACCCAGGCTCTAAACATTCAAGTTGCCTTGGTGAAGCTGCTTAGCGTCTCTGAGACTGTTTACTTAGCTAAAGTGAGGCTTATGGTGTGCAGGAGGCAACAGAATCAGATAGGTATAAGGGAAGTCACTAGTGTGGGTCTGGAAATAATAATTTCTACTGATATGTACCTGGGATGGTACATATCAGTAATTTCAGCTCTTGGAAGACAGAGGCAGGAGGATCACGGTAAATTTGAGGCCAGTCCAGGCTATAGTATTTCAGGCAAGTCAAGGATACATAGTAAGAGCTTGTCTTTTAAAATCCAAAGAGGGGCTGAGAAGATGGCTCAGTCTATAGAGTGCTTGCTGTACAGGCATGGGCTAGAGTCATAGTGCTTACAAAAGACACTGGACATGGGGGCCTGCAATGCCAGTTCTAGAGAGGCAGAGACAGTTAGATCCTGACTACACACCAACCTCTGACCTCCACATGCAGGTACACCATACCACATGCATGCACATGCATGCATGTACACACACACACACACACACACACACACACACACACACACACACCCCAAAGACAAGTTTCACCTTATTAAGAAAGATATGAGCTTCAGGCTTCAGATGGAGTTGGCCTGATGCATAACATTGTTTTCAAACAGGGCATAGCAGGTGGCCACCCACCATGGTCTTCATTAAAACAAAAGTCCTTTTGTATAAGAAAAAAAGTCCTGCTGGTACCTATCATGTTCAGGGTACCGTGGATGATCTCAGGACCAGAGCCTCAGAGTCTACACCTCAGCCAGATGGCAGCTGGGTGTGAGTGTGAGTGTGCTCAGTAGACATGTGTGCACCAGTGCAATGCCTGAGTGACACTCAGTGACACAAAACTGTTACACAGGACAGTGACTTGGGGGCTGCTGTCCCCTGCTCTTTCTCCATCTGCCAGGACTGGAAACAGGTGGGCTGTTCTTCTGGGATGCTCTGAAGCCTGTGCTTCCCCCACCGCATCTGAACTTCTATCTTTCCATCCACAAACCCATCCATCCATCCATCCACGCATCAATGCATGCATCCATGCATCCATCCATCCACAGATACACCATCCATACATCCATCAGTCCACAGATACATTCTCTACCCATCCAATTTTTAATCTGATTGTCTATATTATTTATCTATGGTCACATTCATGTACTGTACCATCCATTTGTCCATCCACTCTCATGTCTGTGTGTCATTCTACCCCATGTACACTCCTATCTGTACACCTACCTACCTTGTCTCTACAGACAATACAAATGGGCAGACAGACACAGACCTCATCAAAGCAGAGTTGAAACGGTTAGGAGGTTTCAGAAAGGTGTGTGCAAATCAAGCCACAGTTATCTGGTTGAAGATAGAGGGCAGGTATTGAAGGGCGGAAAGCAAGGACTTGGTTGGGGTAACTCAAGACTCTTCAAGAATGCTCTTGCCTCCTCTGGAGATCCCCAGTCAGTCTTAGCAAACCCCAGGTCCCTATATCCCAAGACTGCATCTAGGAGCCACTGAAGCCCTTGGGTGCATGCACCTCCTTGGTGTTGGATTTAAAAGTGAGCCCCCCACAGCCTTCCTGGACTCTCCTCCAGTCCTTCTTCCTGTAGTGAAAGGGATGGGGCGGAAAGGACCTGAGAACTGGTTGGGGCTACAATGTGTTGGAGCGGAGCCCCAGATTCATGTACAAGACTCTATTTTTGACATTCCAGGCTGTGCTTTCTGGGCACCATTCCTGACAGAATTCTCTCTGGGTTCAGTGAGGCAGCCAAGCTTGTGTCTGTTTCTTCAGACACAAAACATTCTTTTGTCATCATTTCCAGCCTGCCTCGAGCAATGATGTCCTCTTCTCCAACACACTTCTTGCTCAAGACAGCCCAGAAGAAAGGTAGAATGGCTGTACTCATCTTGGGTTCCCATTGTGTTCACAAGGTTTCAAGTTCGGAACTCTCTGGGAGCTCCTTCCTGCCTCCTCCAGCTATTATTGGTGGCAGGCATCCCTCAGTGTCCCCAGGGCTATGGTAGTATCTCTCTATTTCCATATTAGCTCTTCCCTGTGATGTGGGGCTACCCTCATCCAGAGGGGCTTCACGGTAACTCAGCACAGAGGGCTGTCAGGTGCCAATCTATGGCTTCTTCCTAAGAAGCCTGGGTATAAAATAACAGCCAGTTAATCAGGGGAAAACAACGTAAAGCTCTCACAGGGAAAGTTGCCAGTGTTGTGTGCTTGCTTCAGAGAATCCTGCTAATATTCCATAGCTGACATGCTTTTTTTCCCATTGGTGCTGTCTCAGTTTGTTTTCCTGTTGCTGTGATAAAACATTATGACAAAGGCAATTTAATGGAACAAGGGTTTATGGGCTCCTAGTTCCAGGGTACAATCCATTGCAGCATGGAAGTCAGAGTGGCCAGAGCTTCAGGGATTTAGTCATGTCTATCCACAGTCAAGAAGGAGACAGATAAATGGAAGCTGCCTCTCAGCTCCCTTTCTCCATTTATAGTATTCAGGAGCCCAGCCAAGGAATGGTGGCACCCATAGTGGGAGGGTCTTCCCACCTACTTTAATGATATTTGATGATGTCAGGACAATCCCAACAGTCATACTAAGAGACCCATCCCCCATGATTCTAGAGCTCATCAAACTGACAACTGAGATTATTTGTCACACACAATTTGGGTTTCTTTACTTGGAAAGCACATTAATGGTTCTAAATTGGCAAAAATGTTAATTATAATCAGTGTGGGGTTGCATCATGAAGAGGAATAGGGGTCTGGGTACCCCCAAAGCCGTGTGGAATCTCAACTCCAAAATGTTTTAACAGTAATTTTAGGCAAGAATCTCTCTCTCTCTCTCTCTCTCTCTCTCTCTCTCTCTCTCTCTCTCTCTCTCTCTCACACACACACACACACACACACACACACACACGGCTGTGCTGAGCATCAATGCTGAAGTAGGTGGAGATGACTATGAAGAACCCACTATGGTGCTTGGGCTGGAACCACTTTCACGTCCTCTCTGATGGCTGTGTTTTCCTTATCCTTCATTGGCTTAGATGAGCATGATCAGCTGCCCTCTGAACACCACACTTCCCTTTCCTGTGATGGAAACCTGAATGTAATTGGCATAGGTGCCAAGTTCTCAGGGAACCACTGAGAGCCTTCTGAGCCACCTCTGGCTCTACCTGAAATTTCCTCCTGAAGTTTTGGGGGCCCTGAGTCTATTTTCCCCAGCATTGTCTTGTACCTTGGAGAGGCTGCCACTCTGGTTGGTGTTGCTAGGGACCCAGGAAGCCTGGCCCTGTCCTGCTTATGTCCTGTGCTCACCCCTACCCGGGATGGATGGTACACCATCCATAAGTGCTGAGACTCAGACACCATTTGAGCAGGCTTCCTTTTTTACCGTTCCATTAGCTGATGATGGGGAATTAGAGCACCTGCAGGTGGACGGACCCTGCGGAGCCACTCCCAGACTCACATCATCCCATGCCTTACCTGCCTAGGTGGTAGAAGTTCCCACATGCCTTATCTCTTAACCCAAGTAACAACAGCAATGACAGTTCTCATTTCCCTGCTGAACATCCTCTTCTGCTGGGCTCTGTGCCACAGACTCCATATCCTAAGGAATAATTCTTCTCACTTGGTCATGCTGACGAAGCTCAGGGAGGCTAAGGACCTTGCTGCCAGGTCCTCTGATGGCTCCACATCACTCTATACCAACAGCAGATCCTACTTCTTTGAGGATGAGAACGCAGCTCTTAATTCCAAATCTAGAAGCATCCTTCCCTCCAGGGCATGGGCATTGCTCCACTGTGCCCTCCTTCTAACAGCAGGGCTGCTGTCACTCACTATTGGTGGGGCTGGACCACCTTTCTCTGGAGCCCTTAGTTCTGGGGGATGGGCTTGGTCCATAGATGACAGAGCAGGGGTGACTGCATGTATGCTGGGGGCCTTGGTCCTGGGGCACATGCTCTGCCTGGGTGTAGCAAGGCGAACTTACTTCTCTCGATTGAATATGATAAACTCCTTCCGCACTGTCTCCAAACACTGCTGCAGGTGTCCATTCTGTCAAAAAGCACAGGGAGAGGACTAAATGGCAGAGTACTGGTCAGGAGGATATAGCAGAGGGACACTAAGGACAGCTAGTTTATTTAAACGGCAATTGTGGCCACTCAGGACTTAGAAACAAGCTCAGTGGCTGGGGCCAGCAACTGTGTCTACAGACAAATGTGTTTCTTGGTTTTAAGGGATAAAAACCATAGAAGCCACTCTAGGATGATGGAACCTGCCTGATGCTTCTGAATTGGGGCTCCCTCATATTTGGATGCCACTCAAGCAAGCTTCAGGATGCAGAGGAGATGTTCAGATCAAGATACTCATGCCAACTGTCCTTCCAGGATCAGAATGTTATGGGGATTACCCCTAGAAGCTTCATGTAGATGGTACCTGATGCAAGGAAGCCCGTTCCCCTCTGTGAGCCTTTTGGATGCCTAGCTCAGGGCCATGGGCCTGTGGCACTTCCAGAGGCTGGCAAGATGGTTTCATTTATTTTAAAATTAGAGGACTAAAATAAGCATTTTTGCATCACAGGTTATGTTCATTTTTTATATTAAGGTTAACTGCAAAAAAATAAAAAAATCTGTATTTTATAGGGGAAGGGGATGTTGTGGATTGAGTTGTGCCTCCCAAAGAGTATGTCCAGTCCCTCAGCCATAGTATCTGAACATGGCTTCATCTGAGATCAGGTCTTCAAGTTAAGGAGGCTGACGCCAATAACTGGTGTTCTTGCATGAGGAGAGAGAGGCCATGTGAAGACGGAGGGGATGATGGAGTTGCCAGCCAGGGAATCCTCAGGAAGCCAGGTGAGCTGAGATTGTGTGATGGTTAGCGACACAAGAGAAAAATGATGAAATAGTCAAAAGGTCAGAGTGCACGCATAAAACATCCACAGGAATGAGAAGCAGAGGAGTGAGCAGGGTGTGGTTGGGTTGACCCCAGGGAGGGATTGTAGTTTTAAATGATGGTGTAGGTGAAACTGATTATTTCATTGGCTGAGAAAAAAAAAATCAAGAAAGATTCCCATATTCCCCACAGTTCCGATTTATGTTGTTGTCGAATGTGAAGGAGCCTGACTATGTGACCAGGAGAGACAGTGGTGGCTAGAACAATGTCATGGGGTTTAGAACAATTTAGGAGACAAACCTCTAGGCATGCTGTGAAGGAGTTTCTAAACTGGATTAACTGGGGTGGGAAGATCCACTCTAAATGTGGGTCACACGATCTCATGAGCTGGGGTCCCCAAAATGAATAAAAAGGAGAGAGCGAGCTGAGCACCAGCATCCCTCTCTCTCTGCTTCCTAACTGTGGATACAGTGTGAGCGGCTGCCTCAAACCCCTGCTGCCACGCCCTCCCCACCACGATGGACTGTCACAGTGCAGCCTGAGCGGGTAGGGGGGTGTCCCCCTGCAGGATAGACCCCCTCATACAAGGTGCACAGGGACAGAGGTGCGCTCTATTTTCTTGGGGTTCTCTGTGTGGATGGTAAGAGTGTGGGCACTCCCTCTCCAGTCATCCTTGCATGGATGTGCACTGTAAGAGATTATTTGCATGCTGAAGGCATTTCATTTACTTAAAAAAAATGCCACAGTCAGCCCTCTGTGACCCCCAGATCCAACTGTAGTCTGAATATTGAGAAACCAACTGCAGTCTGAAAATGTTAAAAAACAAAATTTCCAGAAGTTTCCATGAAGCAAAACTTAAGATGTGAAGTGCATTGAACACTGTGCAAAAATCCACAAGAATGAAGTGACGTGTGCATCACCCTCCTTACCTGTGCCACAAAGCCCCAGCTGAGTGTCCATCATCTACCATGTCTTACCTGTGCCCTTTGCAGTCAGGCCTGCACTGGTGAGTTTTGTGGTAAAGAATGATGCCCAACACCGATGTGCACAGCATCTGCACTGTGTCAAGTGACGGAAGGGATCCCAAAGCAGTTTGAAGCATATGGAGGATGTGCCTGCGTTCTTACCCAGTATGACGCCATTTTACACAAGGAGTGTGAGGGTCTCCAGAGCTGGCTTCTAGTGGGAGCCCTGGCACTAGTCCCCCAAGGTCACAGAGGGGGAAGGGGAAGGGTGGGGTGAGATGTACCTCTGACTAAGAACAAACATCTCCCTCTCCCCCCACAGATCCCCCCTGGGGGCTCACCAGGGGACAGCTGTCCTTTGTGCTGTCTCTGGATCGATGCTTGGCCAACCTCTTCTTCTTTTTGTGAAGCGGCTTGGATTCTAGAATCATTTCTTCAAGTTCAAACGTGGGGTCACAGTTCAGTCTCCCTTTCTGAAGGAAAGCGGAAAGAAAGAGCATGGCTTGTGGTTATTTTGTCCATCACTGCAAAGATCGGGCTTTGCAGAACTGGGACACATCCTGGCTCTTCCACCACAAGTCACTAAACCTCCACAAGCCTCTCTTTCCACAGCCGTAAGGTGAGGGTAATGAGGCTGGCATGAGAATACAGGGGAGGATGACATATGGGGCTACACCCTGCCTTTCAGTGGGACTCGTACACACAATAACCTCTGTTCTGTTTGTCAGGCTCTACTGTGAGTCCCATGGGCCCGGGCTTCTCCCATTACCATTGACTTCTTGAACGTGGCTAAGAATCCCTTCCCTGTTGCACACACTTGACTTCAGCATTTGCCCTCTCCCAAGGGAAAGCTTGAACTCGGGCTCAAGCCTGCCATCCACTCATTCGCCCACTCAAGCTGCAGAGCTCTGCTGACCTCGTCCCAGGTCATGTTGGGAAAATTACTTCACCTCACCCAGAACACTGAGAAGATCCACTCTCAGGCTGCTGTGAAGCTCCTAGGAGCCAAAGCACGGGAAGTTCTAAGAAGGAAGCAAGCACTGAGCGCACACTCAGCCATGTTGGCTCTCATCACCCACACATCCACAGTCACATGACAGCGATGCACCAAGGCTCTCTAGTGCCTCCTAGAGCATTGTCATGGGCTTTCTGAGATGAGGCCAGTGAGGATGGGCTCTTAGGAAGATGGCAATCTCCCTGGACCAACCAGCATCTGCGCTAACACAGCCCTTGACACCTGTTTCGAGGGGCCGGAGAGCCCAGGGAGGTTCAGCAGCCCATGTGTCCAGTGCAAGAAGCATACCTTGGAAATCCGGTCCAAATATGTTGGCTCTCAGTGAACCAGTAAGTAAGGTATCTGTTGGTACCTTACTTCTGTGACCTTCAGGGAGTTCAGCAGTCAGTGGCAGGGGTCATGCCTAATACCAAGGTGGGGGGGGACCTGCTGAAGGGTGGTATGACTCACGTTGGGCACAAAGCCGGGCATCAATGCCTTCTCGAACACTGCATCCCAGTTCATGTCAGCCATGTAGGCCATATTCTGGATGTCACTGAGGCTGGACAGGCGGCTCTCGGGGTCCTTGGTCAGCAGCTGTGGTCAGAGGGCAAAGGCACTTCTGTGAATGATGCATCCCACCTGAGCGAGCATGGACGTGGAAAATGGAGTCTCACCCAACACGTAGGGCATCCTTGCATGCCATGCTGGGCAGTGAGTGGCCCACACCCTCTGGCTTAGCTCTGCAGTGCCAAATACACTCCTAAAGCGAGGGAGGGACTTCAAGGTCAGCTCTTTTCTCTAAGGTCATCTGGCAGGTGACTCTTGGGGAGAGACTAAGTTTCCAGCCTCCATGCCCCTCTTTGGGGCCAGTCCTCTAAAAAGTAACTTATCCCTGATGTTCACAAAAGCTTCAGTGGTAAAGAACAGGCTGGCCGCCTCATCCTAGGACTTCTGCCTTGGTTTCACAAGAGTGGAACGGAATTTTCCCCCACAAGTTACAAGGTGACCTCTGTGACCTGAGTGAGTGGTTCACTTTTAACTTTTCTTGAAGGCCAGCTTCTGCTAAAGGAGCTAGAGTGCAAAATCAGCTTCAGAGGGGCTGGAGAGATGGGCATAACAACTGTTAGTAACTCCAGTTCCAGGGGCTGTGACACCCTCTTATTACCTACACAGGCACCAGGCATGTATGTAGAAAAAACATACATGAAGACAGAACATGCATACACACAAAATAAACAAACCACAACAACAAAAAGCCCCCACAGGGCATTGCTTTGCATTGTCTGTTTCTGCATGCATACATATATGCAGATGTGTGTGCATGCATGTGTGTGCATGCGTATGTGGAGGCCAGAGGTTGCTGTGTCATCAATTGTTCTCCATCTTATTTTTTTTGTGGCAGGGTCTCTCATGGAACCTGTAGCTTATGGATTTGGCTAGACTGGCCAGCAAGCCTCAGGGAGCCTCCTGTCTCCACCTTCCAAGTGCAGCACACTGCTGCACCCAGACTTTTAGTTGGGTGCTGGGGATCCAAACTCAGGTGGCCATGCTTGCAAAGCAAGCACTCTGCCAAATGAGCCGTCTCCTCAGCCCCTGCACTGCCTTTTAGAACACTCTAGTTTTCGAGATGCAAAGACTGCCAGTCTAAACTGGGCAGGACAGGGCTTAGCCCTGGGACGGCCACCTAAAGGGAATGGCCAATGGCCTGGTGTCCTCCTGAGATCAGCCCTTTTCCTTGCCTTGGAGCAGGAGTGGTGGCGGCTCCCCCACTCCCAGCACAGGGCCAGGGTGAGCCTCAACAGGGTTGGTAAGGACCTGGCGTGTGTTAAAAAGGAGCGTGTCACTTGGTGACAACAAGAAGGGGTCCCCTTCCCATCACCCCTTCTCTCCCAGTCATTTTTCTCATTACTGTGGCAATCCCTAACAAGGGCCACTTCAGGAAAGGAGGGCTTATTTTGGCTCACAGCTCATGGGTACCGTCCATCATGGTGGGGAAAGGATGGCAGCAGTGGTGTGAGGCAGCTGGGAACACTGTGTCCACAGGGAGCAGAGATAAATGGATGCTGGTGCTCAGCTCCCTCCTTGTATTCAGTCCAGGACGCTAGTTGTTGGAGGGCTGCCACCCACATTCAGGGTGGGTCTTCCCATCTCAGTTAGCCCAGCCCAGAACTTCTCTCACAGACATGACCATTGGCTTTTATCTGGGGTGATTTCAGATCTGCCCAGGTGACAGTATTAACCATCACATTGTCCTGACTTCGGATCTCATCTTCCAGCCCCAACACAGTTATAACATCTTGGTGAATTGCTAATTAGTCAAATTACTTTAAATGGGTGCCCACAGTTGGTTGCTCTTAACCCTGGCTCCTCACTGGGGTCATCTTGAAGCCTTCCATACTGCCAATGCCTGGCCCCTCAGCAAACCCAGTGAGTCGGAAGCTTGGGCCTTGGAGCACCCAGGAGCATCAGCTTGTTCTCAGGACAGCAGTTTTCAACATTTAACTCCCAGATGCCATCCAAGAGGAGCCTGTTTAAATCTATAACCACTGCTTTGGGAAAGCCCCTAAATATAGGATGCATTAATTGGCAGACACGGTCCTTGTCAGATGTCTCTCACGTGCTGTGGTCCTGATCACTCCATGGGTATAGTTAAGATGTTTCTGGAATGACAGTTGAGACTAATGTGGATGGTTTGGGTACTAATCCCATTTCTGCCTTGCAACATCTCTGTGGTGTAGACTAAATCATTTTGTTTTATCAAGTCTTGGTTTTCTAGTCTCTCCTGTAGGGACAGTGACCCTGGTCTACTGTCATTATTAGCTTGTGGGGATGAAAGGAGACCAGGACACACTGACCTCCCCCAAGGCTGCTGCTATCACCATCACACTAGTAAAAATTGCTGTGCCTGCCATATGAAATACTTTCCTTGCACCTGAGAACTGGAGGGGAACCTCAGAAGGGGACACCTGGATCTCCTGCCTGTGCTGAACTGAAGAGGCCTCAGAAGTCATGGGAATCAGGCTGAGATAGGTAGCTGCCCAAGCCTCTATGTCTCACTCAGAAGGCCTGGGGTGGGCATTTCTAGCAGGTTGATATGTGGAGAGTGAACCTGATGTTTTTAGAGCTGGGTCTGTGCTTGGAGATCCAGTATTCATTCTACTAGCAACAATTCCCACCACTAGGAATTCTTAAGGCCCAGCAGGCCAGCAGCCCAATTCAGTAGCTATTTCTCTGTATTAGGAACTTGCAGTGAGCTGGAAAGAGCCTGGGCCATGCTGTCACACACTGCACTATGCTGGGCTTCGTGATCTGTGTATGACCTCATGGCAGCATTTGTTACTGGGTGTTAGTGCACTAGCTGTCCCTTCTCCATGGCCCCCAGACCTCCTACCTTCTTCAGCAAGGCTACCATCCCCTCACACCACATGGAGGAGTAGTGAACACGCTCCACCTTGAACATGTTGAGGATCTCGTCAATGGGTGTGGCCGAGTGGATTTCATACGGCCTCTGTAATAAAGGACAATGCCAGAATCAGAGAGAATGTCTTAGAGAAGGCAGGATCCTCTTGTTTGAAGACTGTGTGATGATGGGTAACGCTTCATATTCCCTTCAAGATGCCATGAACAATTCTCTCACAGCAGGGCAGTACAAAAAGAGGGCATGGAGATGCTGTCTTGGCCATAGGTGGCTGGGGCATCTTGTCTGTGAGTGGGAGAGGCATGACTCACTCTGCTCCTGCAGTCACAGACTGGGGTGCTGGTGTCTGCCATTGAGCACCCACAGGGGCACCTCTAGTCACAGCCTCCACCTGCTGGAAGGTCAGCCACCACCTATTCCTGTCTTGGCTGAGCAGGTCTATGAGTGAGCAGCATGATCACTGCTCCACTAGATGTGAGTTGTGTGTGTATGAATACTGGGAGGAAGCCTATGGAGTTCAGGCTGTGAGAGCAGGAGTGCTCTGTGGTCCCTATAGGAGATGGGACAACCAGAGCACAAAGCCACCAACTGGACATGGGCTGGCGACTTGGAGCTGGGTTTGTAGATCATTCAGGACTCTTCTTCCACGTCTAGCCTTTCATTAGTTTATTCCACCACCACTAATGCCTCTGCATACACTGGAGACATAAGATGCCAGGGAACAAGACATCCCCATTTCCATCCTTACTTTAAAAGCCAGGAAACGAAGGCTCAGAGATGGGGCTTCCCAGAGACTCTGATGCTCTTTGCCTGCTCTCTCTAGAAACCCAGGTGAGGGATCAGCCAGAGGTCAAAGGGCAGGCTTTATGTCACTGACATTTGAGTTCCTACTGTCTTGGCCACTCACCAGCTCTCCTGAGTTCTGCATTTCCATCCAACCTCCAAGGAGATTCTCTCTGATATCTAAAATCCTCCCCACACCTGGAAGGAGCAGACTGGCTACACCAACACTAGCGGTAATCACGGGAACTCTGTATTCAAGTGTACATGCATGCATGTGTATATATGCATGTTTGTGGTGTGCCTCTGTGTAGGCCAGATGTCGAGACTGAGTGTCTCCATTTTTACTCTACCTGATTTCTCTTACTCAACCTAGAGCTCCCCAGATTGGTTAGGCTAGCTGGCCAGAGAGTTCCTGTGAGTCTCCAGTTCCTGCCTCCCAAATCCTGGGGTTTCAGGTACTTGCCACTGCACCCAAGTTTCTTTTACAGAGATTCTAGGGGATCAAACTGAGGTTCTCATACATGGGTAGTGCTTGACTGACATTTAAAGGGTCTGGGGAACTGTGACAAAGGTGTTCCTAAGGCCCAGGTTCCAGGTTCAGCCCTCCTCAGTTTGGGTGGGCATGGAGACACAGACCTTCCTCCGAGTTAAACAGCGAGTATTATAGCTCATATCGCATCTTCTCATGGCACTGGATTTCACTACTGCTTTGTTCTCATTGTCCTTAGGACTCTCTGACTCAGAAGCCGCTGTCTTTAAAGGGTAAGTGATGGCGAGGCCTGCTGGCAAAAGTGGTTTCCAGCAGCAGAAGACTGGGTCACTTTTTCCAGAGTGCAGGTATGTCTTTATTCTAGGAAACTCATTTTTTAAAAAAGGCAATTTGCCATGAAATAGGAGACATAGAGGAAGAGAATTGACATAGGCCTAGAGTGGGGCTGGCAGACCATCGGAGTCCATGACGTCCTCTAATCTCTTTACTCAGAACAACTGTCCTTTAGGCAACTTGAAACTCCAAAGCCTGAGAATATTTTCCCTCTGGAACTGGTGGATGATCTTCACAGAGACTGTAAGTCTGGGGATTGATGAGAAAGCCAGAACCACCCCAGGATGTGCCCTGGAAAGAGCAGAATTGCCGCCTGGGCTCCCATCTCCAGGCACTGTGCTCTGTCTGCTTTGCTGAGACAAGTCGGCAGCTGCCCCTCCCCGCTTCAGGCCGAGCCATGCACTAGGGTGCACATGGCAGTTCTGGGTCCTGCACTTGAGGCCCTCTGTACAGGGTGCTCCAGATGTCTTTCCTCTATTAACTCAACCTCTCTGTACCCCAATATTTTCACTTACAGTCCCCAAAAGGTGCTAGCTGGAACCAAAGGTGAAGGACAACCCAGGGAGGCAAGTTGTTGGTGGTCACCCTAAGAGGTCCTGACTAGGTCTCCAAGCCTCACCTTCTACCTATAGAGAGCTCCCTTGCATTGTGGTCTCCCAGGAAGGCGTCACTCAGTCCTCTTGATCACCAATGGCAGAGGCTCTCAGTCCAGGGCAGTTTGCCCCTGGGAGATATCAGGGTGTCATAACTGGGTAGTGGAGGTTTCTTCTAGTGCCAGTGTGTAGAGCCACATTGCAGATCACCTCATGACCAGTCTCTACCTCAAAGGATGACCCAGCCCAAATGTCCACATCACTGGGGTTGAGCCTCATATACTACATCTGCCCTTGTAGCAGAACCTGGAAATACATGGTGCTCAATATAGTTACCACTTTGCTACTTCGCTGCCTAAGTCCAAGGTGGTGGCACTGTACCATCCACCTCGTCAACCCCAACACCCCAGGGCTCTTTATGTAAGTCCCCTGCCCATCCTATGATAGGTGGCAGGGTCCAGTGACAGCTGAGTCCACCTCAGTCTCTTCTCTGTCCTGCTCACACTGTTGCCGACAAATCACAGACGAGCCAGCTTAGATGTCACTCAGGGTCTTCCCAACTGTGTCCTCAATGCCCAAGCGGCATCCACGGCTCCTGTGACACCATTCTGCTATATGCTGACATCGTCATCAGCACTCTGCCCCTCAGCCCCAGGCTGCCAGGGCTCTGGTCACATTTTCCCCCAACTCCAAGGTGACTGTGTTCATTATCTCCCTTTATGAATGAGGAAGCCAGGGCTCAGACAAGGTAAGCATGAATTACAGTGTGGAGAAGCATTTATGTCCCCACACCTGTAGCTCTATCATCTAATAGATGGCAGCCAGCCTCTGCCCCCAGAGCCTGTGTAGTGTGTGAAGGGTGCCCAAGCTGGGACAGTCACAGCAGGCCACTCTGGGTGGGAGGCTTGTGGAAGTTAGGAAGCTGGGGTTTGTACAGTGCTGATCTCCAGGTGCCACGCTGTGCTGGATAATTTATATCTCTAGGTCGTTAAGTCTCCACACATCCCTGCTGGGGAGAATGACTGTTACTGTATGACGTAGGTTGACAGAGGATCTGACTGCCTAGAAGCCCTGCTTAAGGTCACCGCCGGGGTCCCTGATGAGCCAGTGAGGTTCTTCTCAGAGCCGCTCTCCTTGTTAGAAGGAAGCAGCTCTCCATTGAATGCGAAGGGAAACTCCCTGTCAGTTACAGCTATGTGAAGTGGCTTCTCTCTGCAGGTAAGGAGCCCCCTGGATCACAAAGGTGATATCTGTCAGGGTGGCATCCAGGTAGGAGGGACAGTGTCTGCACACAGGTCACTAAGTCTCTTCTGTAGTGGTGTGGCCAGGGGCACAGTCTCATTACGCCTCCTCCTCCTCACTCCACTCTGCCTTTTCTGTTACTAAAGCTCCAAGCTGACAGAAACTTGCTCTGTGGGAACTATGAGCATGAGTGGTGCTCACCTGGGTGTTTTTTTTCCCCACCAAGGCAGGTTTGTAGGGCAAGAGCTGAGATTCTGCTCTGAGTTCAAGAGAAGCCATCTCCCCTTGCCCAGATTATAAATAAGTTCTCTTTGCTTGCACAGGAGACCAGGTCCCTCTGTTTTTCCTGTTTGGTGCCCAGCTCTTTCTGAGGGAGACAGCTGGTTTTTGTCGGATGCAGAGCATGTCTGAGAGCTTGGCCGACAAGCCACACTAGTAGCACACTTCCTCACCTGCCTTTCCTGGAGCTCCCAACTCTAAGCTCCTAGAACTCACAGGAAAGCTCATGACTACTTTCTTTTGTCTTTGGGAAGCAAGTTCTGTTAGAACCCTGTCACCACCAGGGCAACTAAAGTCCAGGAAGAAACATGATTTCTCAGTCCACAGTCTACAAGTAAAGTGAAGAAGGTGAGGGGCCATTGGACTGGCCGTTTGACTAAATTAGTGGTCTCCAGTATAAACACCAGAAAGCAAGCTATACCATAACTCACTGCCCCTTGGATGGGCAATTCTGCCATGCAAAGACAGTTGGGAGAAAGGTCACCCAGCTCCTAACAGGTGCTCTTTTTGGAAGTACATCGTTTCATTGTCCCTGTACCAAAGGCCTTCACTGGCCCTGCGACTCTCTCTCTTCCCTTGAAAGTGGTCTCTGAGTAAAAAGCTCACAAGAATAAGAAATGAGGAACTTAATTTTGAAGAAGCAGGCTTTCTTCCATCCTTGGGGCATTTTGCCAAGCCATTACTGGCAACTGTTCCAGCCCTTGAGGAATAATAGCCAGCATCATTTCTGCTGGCAGGCTTCCTCTTGCTGAGGGCCACTGTGTACCAAGGTCACCTGCATGATGGATGGCATAAAACCACAGCCTCTGGGGGACAAGCATCCTGGTTCATCTGGAGTTGGGAATGCTCACATCCCCTGATGGCCACAGAACCAAAAAGCACCTGCCAGAAACAAGTGAGCCCACAGAGCACGGAGTCTTTCTTTCAGTGCCCAAGGAAGCAAACAAGTTCTCATTTTCGCTGCATTCTGAAAATGCCATGCACCTTAATTAAGTTTTTGAGGAATTCATGGGAAATAATTGAGTCCAAGAGCAAAAAAAAAAAAAGTTGGCTGAACTAAAGTCAGTTACAGGCTGCTTTCATCATTCATTCATTCAAGAAGTATTCATTCATTCCCCATTATCCTAGAGAAAAGATTCTCGCCCACACAAAAACCAAGACCCTGCCTTCAGGTCATCACAAGGGAACCCACAGAAACAACTAACCTGGGCTCATAGGAGCTCACAGAGTCTAGACCCACAGCAAGGAAGCCAGCATGGGACCAACCTAGACCCCCTACATATATGTGACAGTTGAGTAGCTTGGTCTACTTGTGGGACTCCTAGCAGTGGGAGCAGGGGCTGTCCCTAATGCTTTGGCTGGCTTTTGGGAACCTATTCCTCATACTAGGATGCCTTGCCAGCCTTAATACAAGGGGAGGAGCTTATTCCTACTTCAACTTGATATGCCATGCTTTGTTGACACCCATGTGAGGCCTTCCCCTTTCTGAACAGAAACGGATGAGTGGATGTGTGTGTGTGTGGGGGGGGGAGGTAATGGGAGGGGAGGAAAGAGGGGAACTTTGGTTGGGATGTAAAATAAATGAAAACATTTAATTAATAATAATAAAAAAGATCCTGCCTTCATGGAAGCTGCCCTCTGTTATCATGAATATGCATATGTGTAGATGAATGCAAAACCATGTCAGACTTGCAGACAGTGGGATTAACAAGTTTTGTTTTGGTCAATGGAGCCACAGATACAGGTCCAGGGGCGAATGTCCTCTAACACCAGCTCCACAAAACATCTCTGTAACATGACTGAGAAAATCGTGGGCCCGGGAATTGAGATGACATAATTTCCCAACAATACTTGTGTAAAGAAAACACACTCCAAAAGTAGTTTGGTCACAAGAGTTTTGGTTTGAATAAAAATATGAGCTATTGGTTGTTAGATGCCACCACCATCTTCAGAAATTGAGTGAAAACGAGCCAAAAATAAAAACATGCACTGACTGTCCCAGATCATCCTTAGAGATTCCTGGGTTGTGCATTTGGGAAAGATATGGGGGGGGGAGAAATGAAAGAGAAAAAACAGAGAGAACACCCAGTCAAGTGGGCAACTGTCATTTCAGAGGTGGGAGTTGTAAAGTAGGAGGCTAGGATGCTTCATCCTGGGTCATTCATTCATAGACCTTCTGTGACTTCCTTCCCTGGGTGGGAGGAAGGATCTGTTTCCCTATTAAAAGAGTGAATGGCTGGGCCAGAACTCCCTGAGGGGTAGCTAGAATCCTGGTCCTGTACCTCCTCTTGGCATCTCACCAACCTTGCAGATTGATGCTCCCTCCGCCACATCATATTCCACAGGACTTACCCAACCTCGTAGCAGCTCATAGGCCGTGACACCCAGGGACCACCAGTCCACAGGGTATGAGTACCCGGGGCCTCCATCCACGTATACCTGGAAGACTTCTGGGGCTGCAAATGACAAGGCAAAGAGAATATCAGTCATATGCTGCCTTGGGCATAGGGAGACAAGCCTGCTGGTACTTTGTCCACTGTCATCAGCAACTGCCCCTGGGGAGCCACAGCAGGCTTGGGACCAGAGCAGAAAGGGGCTGAGTGTGTGTCCCCATGGTAAGAGCCAGGGAGGTGCATGGGCATGAGTCATGTTGGGAGACCCTAGCATAACTCACACCTATAATGGAAAGTAAGACCTGAGCACAGATTGCTTCCATATTCTGCCTCTGTATTAACATGGGCCAGATGGCCAGTTACAAGGATGCGGAGCACTCTGCGCCTGCGCCACGGCACTCTGCGCCTGCGCCATGCTCAGGAATGATCCAGGCAGTAAGTCAGACCGAGAGCAGACAGAGTGGAATTCTGGTGGCGAAGACAGGAGATGGGGGACAGCAGCTGCTGTAGGGCAAAGGAAGTATTTTTGAAACGGGATAGAAGAGAAGGTTGAAGAACAGTGTGGAGGTGCTTACCCGCCCCAGGATGGCACAGTTGGCATGGCTAATTTGATGTTATGTGAATTTAGTCCCCCATCTGTTCTAGGAAGCAACACATGTGACTGAAGCAGTCAGGACTTCATGTGGCACTTGGGACAGTGAGGAGAGATTGGATCAGGGCAAGGTGGCTGGATTCTCATGAGTATACAACCACTCTGAATCTGGAGCTTAAATCTGATGAGCAATCAGATCCCAACTGGTTTTTGTCTGTTTTCTGCTCTGGCTTTTGTTTTCCACTCACTCGGCATTTTTGTGGGGTGTTCTCAACCATAAACTTCCATTTCCTTGAAACCACAGCCTCTGGGGACATGCTACCATTGGACACCTTTAAGATGAGGCAGAGGAGGTTCAGAGAGAGCTGTGGGTATGAGGAAGTCACACAGATAAGACAAGGAAAGCTGAGTAGTGCTTCCTACTATGGCCAAGTCCCTGTCTGACCAACGTCCTTTCAGTATGGGGACATGTTCTACCACACTGGAGATATAATTATGAGTTTGAGAAAATGGCTCCTTGTTCTTTTTTTCTTTTCTTTTCTCTTCTTTCTTTCTTTCTTTCTTTCTTTCTTTCTTTCTTTCTTTCTTTCTTTCTTTCTTTCTTTCTTTCTTTCTTTCTCTTTCTTTCTTTCTTTCTTTCTTTCTTTCTTTCTTTCTTTCTTTCTTTCTTTCTTTCCTTCCTTCTTTCTTTGTTTCTTTCTCTTTCTTTCTCTTTCCTTCCTTCCTCTCTCTTTTCCCTTTCTTTCTTCCTTCCCTTTCTTCTTTCTTTCTTTCTCTCTCTCTTTCTTTTCTTTCTTTCTTTCTTTCTTTCCTTCTTTCTTTCTTTCTCTCTCTTTCCTTTCTTTCTCTCTTTCCTTTCTTTCTTTCTTTCTTTCTTTCTTTCTTTCTTTCTTTCTTTCTTTCTTTCTTTCTTTCTTTCTTTCTTTCTTTCTCTCTTTCTTCTTTCTCTTCACTGAAGACCCAACTGGCTATGTTGGAAACAGTAAGATAATGGGGTTTGGCTGGAGCAAAGTTTAACATATCCCTTTTGTCCTTGCCTGTTTTGGCAAATGTGGACAGTAATTATGGTTTATCCATTGGTGTATTGATTAGCTTTGTGAACTTGACACAGCCTAGAACCATGTGGGAGGAGAGTCTCGGTGAGGGACCATCCATATGGGGATGGATTATTTTAACTAAGTTAATCGATGTGGGAAGATCCTGCCAACTGGGGTGGCACCATTCCCTAGGCAAAAAGTCCTGAGCTGTATGAGTGAAGGAACTATTCTGAGCTCATGCAAGTGAACATTCCTACACTCATTTCTCTCTGCTCTTGCCTGAGCAGCTCTTGTCTCAAGCTCCAGCCTCTGTGACTTCCCCACAGTGATAGACTGTATCCCGGAAGTGTGGGCTTAAGTAAGCCCTTGCTTCCCAAAGCTGCTTTATGTCAGGGTGTTCTATCACAGCAATACAAATGAAGCTAGATGGCTGGGATAATTGAGCAGCTGCCTGCAGGACATCTGGCTCACATTGCGCACTCTCTAAACCTCAAGCCTTATGAATGACAGTCTTACTGTTACCCGAACTTCTCCCTTATCTATCATGATCAGTCATCCTACCACCCGCCCAGTTACAAACAACAGAGCTTTAGAGACCCCCCCAAACCCCACCCTCCTCAGGCCTGTGGGTTAGCTTTCTTCAAATACTGTAGGTTCTGAATTTTCAGCTTTGTTTTTGTACGTCCTTTCCTACCCATCCCTAGATCAGACAGATTCCAAAGTCAGTGAGCTCAGTTCCTTACTCAATCCCATCATCAAGGCAGCCATTCAGCTAGCTAGAACCTCTGAGAATTTACTTTTCTCTACTATAATCCACACAATCCATCTACTTGTCTGTCTTCTCCTGTCCTGGGGGATCTGGGAAAGGAAGGGTTGCACACTATGCAGCCCCAGGGCCTGGATACTATGGTCTAGTGATAGCTTCACGGGTATACCCTGGGTACAGGGGGCACCAAGTGTTCCTTGGTGCTTCTTGCGAGTTCCTGTCATGTCCATAGTTCTTAGCACACTTAAGACTCAGTGTAGAAGCTGCAGGAGATGGATGCTGCCAGGCTGCTGTGAGTGGTGGTTGACAGATGTTTACAGTTGCAGGGAAGCTGATCCCCACTCCCCCTCCCTCTGCACTCTTGTGGCTGATGACAGAACAGAACCGTTGATGTCATAATCCCTGTACAGCTGCTTGAGTGGTTCAGAATCACAGTGCTTGGACGGAGGCCAGGTGGGAGTCAGGGACCTGACGAAGTCCTGGCACGCATTGCTTATGAATGACAGCGCTGTGACTGCCAGCTGCTCTCAAGGCTTGTGCATAAATTGAATCCTTTCACCACTCAGCGAGACAGGTGCAGAAGGCACTCTGTGATGAGGACGAAAGCAAGAGGCGGGGGGTGGGCTGAGTGGCAGCCCCCCAAGTCCCAGCCCCAGTGCTTGTGAATGCCATCACATTATGAAATGAAGAGTCTCATAGTAAAATCATCCTGTGTTTAGATTTGATTCTAAATTCCATGACTAATGTCTTTATAAGATAGATGAGGGATGATTTAAGACACAGGATGGCCATGGGAAGATGGAGGTAGAGCATGGAGTGAGGTATCACAAGCTACCTGGATCTGGAAAATGTGGAGGGATCCTTCTCAGAGCCTTCCAAACAGGCATGGCTCTACTACACCTTGCTATCTCAACTCCAGTTCTGGAACTTCAAGGAGCAGCTTCTCTGTGGTTTTAACTCTGGCTCATGAAAATTTGTTCTGCAGCCACAAGAAGCTATGACAAGGTAAGGGACTTGCCAGGATCGCCCATCTAGCTTGGCAGAGCTGGGATCAAATGGTTCTCAGGTTCCTAAAACCCAGGCTCCCCATCCCCTCATGCTAGGAACTGCCAGGAGGGACTGGGTTGCCTGGGGGTTAGGGCTCTGGCTCTTCCCCTGACATCTTTCTCTCTGCAGTGGGTACTTTACACACTGTGCCCACTAGGTTTCCCCTGGCTCTATAGCTCTGGTCCAGCTCAAAGACAGCTTCTAGGAGGGAAAGGCGGCTCCATTGTTGGCTCATTCCTCATCTTTGCTCAGGCACTGCCTTTGGTTGGACATCCATTATTGCCTCCTGTCTCCTGCATCCAGCTCCACCACCAGAACCTCCTGACCCTCTGTCTGTCCTTCTTGAGGATGAGTGGGTCCTGCTTTCTGCCATGTAATACAGACCACAGCAATGTGCTGGTACCAAACATCTTACTGCCAAGCCAGCTGCTGCATACATGGTCCCCTGCAGTGCTGCCAGCCCAGGGAAGGCTAACCAATGCCCACAGAGAAAAGACCTGTCTTGGAATCATGAAGTCCAGCTGCACATTCCTGCTTGGCTTCCCAGAACCTTCTGAGTGCCAGTATGCTCCAGCAATGTCCAAGGAGCCCAACTCAAGTGCATGAATTGGCAATATCTCAGCAGGATCCTGGTACTCTTTTATCTCTTGGAGAATTACAGGATACTGGTTCAGGGACCAGTCTAGATGTGACTCCAATTCTGCAATCTGCTTGCAGTTTCCAGGCTGTGCAGAAGTCAGTGGAGGCCTGAATACCAACAAAATATGCTGTTTGTTTTCTCCCTATAGCTACCTACTAGGACAAGGTCTCATTTATAAATCAGGTCCACTAAGAGACTAACAGCAATAGCAAATGATAAAATAGATGTTAATGATACATTGTCCTGAGAATTATGTGAATGTGTTCTCTCTTTCACTCTGAAGAGATCTTATTACACCTTATTCTCTTGTGATGATGGAAGATACACAATGAGGTGATGGGAGGTGGGTAAAGTATAAGGTAGTGTGTCAGGGTCACTTCAACACAAGAACTACCATATGGTGATAGTCTACCAATAACTTAGATGTCTAGGCAACTGGTAGGAAGATAGTGTGTACAGCATGGATACACTGCACAAAGTTGATTCACCTGTCTCCTGGGCTGGAGGGTGTGAGATTTCACCGTACTACTAAAAACACAGTTTAAAACTCAAGCCCACCTACCCATGCATCATCATACTATGTATATTTTTATTTTTCTAAGTATCTCCAAATCACTCCATTAAATCTGCTGAGTGAATTTGAACCCAAAACCAAGATTTTTTGTTTGAAATTTGAAAATTACATCATTTATTTATTTACTTAGTATGTGTGTGTATCAGAGTGCCACAGTATATACATGGAGATCAAAGAACAACTTGTGGGGATCAACTTTCTCCTTCTACCTTGTGACTCCAGGGGGTTAAACCCTAGTTGTCAGATTTGATGACAAGTGCCCTTACTCACCTAGCCTCCAAACCAAGATATTCTAGGAAGTTCCACGCATGTTACATGTGCATAAACTAGGGTTTCCATATAACCTAAAACAAAAACACGTGGCCTTACCATTACCACGCACATTAATAAACATTTGTCAGTGTACC